CTTACATAATCAAGTCAATCTGGTCAGGAGAGGCAATTATTCTTATGGACTTGGATGGGCTAGAGTTCTCGCAACCGATCAATATGGACAAATTGAAGAAATACTACCCCTAAGAGGCTCGCTAGGCCAAAAAGGCAACCTAGGAAAAAGTTAGAGCATGAAAATTAAAAATAAAGAAAAAATGAGCTCGCAAGGTTGAAAACCCTAAAGGGAGACTTTGGCAAAAGTTAGAATGTAAAAGGAGAGAGTTAATACTTGAGTGAACCTAAACCGAACTACGTAAGGACTGATTTCCATTTTTTGGATACGTAGGAAACTTCACCCTAAAGTTCGGCCGTAACTATCTTCGATTCAACTGTCTTGTCCGTTTTCTTGATCAGGTTATCTTTGTTCATCATCTATTAGTTCGATTATGTCCTTTATTTCAGGAAGAAAAGCTGATTACAGTGCAGAGCAGCAGTGATATGCAATCAGGGGTAGTTATGATTGCTTTTGATTCAGGACTGTACATCTTGAGAATCGACTATGTGCGTATCAGGTGGTGATCGTTTCCGAAAATTGGTTTGAAAAGTTTAAATAAAAGTTGATTTTGTTCAAAATTTTACCCTTTTACAACTTGGACCATTTTTGGGACCGAAAGAAAAATTTTCAGTACTCATAACTTTAATTTTATTGATTTCAACACAAGTCAGATGGCTAAGTCAGATGGCTCTATGCCAAAGACGGCCAAACCTCTGCCCCCTCATCGAGCCAAGCCAAACACTCCTCAGATAGGGTGTAACTGAAATTAATGGTAGGGGTCAAAATCTCTCTCGTTCTCCAGGCAGTAAGGTATCGGGGCAAGTGCGAGGCATGAATTGAAAATGAAGCCAGGCATTCTACTCCTGCCCCGGGCAGGTCTAATCATGCCCGAACTGGCGTCTGAACCGAAAAAGGAAATAGAACATGCAATGTGTGAGGCTAATCAACTCTACACCCGATTGTCTGGACATGTTGTATCTCATCTCAGCCAAATTAAGCAAGGGGCAACGCCAAGTTATGTCAGTTGCAGATTTGTTGCACATACAATCACACTATAAACCCTCTGAGGGGAAATCGACTAGCCGTTAGCGAAAGAAGTAAGCTTTGGCCGTGTACTCGGGATACGGGTCCACTACTTGCAGTTTATCCATTAACCATACCTGGAGAGGGATGAAAAATAAGAGAGATTAAAGAATAGAGAGGTGTACGATGAGAGAAAAGTAAGGAAGAGGTTATGAGAGAAAAACAGAGAATAAATGTTGAGTGTAAGAATTACAAATTAGAATGGTGGAAAATAATACCTAGAGAAGTAGCGGGCTCCCTGCCAATCGGGTAGTCTCTCCTCGATGGAAAGCATCTAAACCCATTAAGGTTTTGGCCAGCGCCAAACCCATGCAACTCTTACCCTCTTTCAGATATTGGGCCACTTTGATCAATCGCATGCTAGCTCCGCCGACACTAGGGGCAATGAGGAATCGTGCAAGAAGGCATAAACAGAGAGCATGTTGTCGGCGGCCTCACCAAAGAGGATCACTCCTGTCTCGAATAGCGAAAAATTGATGAACTAAACCTAGAATGTCTAGCTCCCCATCATGTGCCAAGGATTGAGCCTCGTGTAATGTTAACCCACACATCCATCCCAAAGCTTGGGCATGGCCAAAATGGGGCTGCGATATGATTTCTTCATTGCACCGGGACTCCATTAAAGCTCAAAATTCCTCGAGTGTTGGACACACCTCTTGTGATCTGAATTGATATACATGAGTGATCAAGTTCCAACATCGAACAGTGGCATGGAGGAATAGAAAGCAAAGAGAAGTGCGGTTTAGAGGAAAAAGGGCATTTAGGCCAAAACTACGAAAATTCACCTTTTCTGAGTCGTCCAAAGTGGCTATCCAATCTTAGAGCCTATTATTGCACAATGTTTCCATCTTGAGAGCAAAATATCAAAGACTTGCTATTCTATAAGAAAAATAGCATGGGAGCACCATTTATAGAGGATGAGAAAGTGCAGTGAATAACAGTTGGGCAGCACTGACCGACCTCACACTTAGGCCAGATCGTGCCTCAGTGAAGCCCAGCCATGCCTATTTAGGCCCAGCCGGGTCTAAATGGTGGCTCAGACCAATGCAGTTGCAGGAAAAGTTAGCCTTCGTCGTGACGTACCGCAGCTGTGTTTTAAGTCTTGTTTTGTTTGTACCAAGTGTTTTTTTAGTATTTTCAAGTTGTTTTCATTTCATTTTTCTGTTATTGAGTTATATTTTACATTTCATCCTGTCGTGGGTAATTATCTGATTCAAGAATGAATGCAAGAGTAGATATTTGTTATTTTAAGTCTTATGCGAAGTAACCATGCAAAGGTTACGCCATTCATTATATTGTGCAAGGAGATCATTCAAAAACTTGTCTTTTATAAACTACCGAATCCAACCCCAATCATTGTTTTACAAGGCAACAAAATAAAAGAGAATCCTTCAAAAAAACAAAAGGGTCTATCTAAAGCTAGTCTTTAACTATAAAGCAAAAAAAAAAACAGACAGACAGACAAACAAAAACAAAAATCATCATCCTCATCAGTAACCCATCATCGCCCTCTTCCTTCTCGACTGCGGAGGAGGTGCATCACTAAGGCTATGGACTGCAAGTCAATCTCCTCTCCCTCGTCCTTAGGGGTCGTAGACCAGTCAAAAGACTCCTCGGAAGGTGAGCCCTGCCTCACTTGGCCTCTCCGTCGATCAGCTCCCCCTCGGCCCCTCACTAGGCCCCGTCTTCTTCTTCTCCCAGCCGAAAGAGGTCCTGCGAGCACTGCTGACGCTGGCTCAAGCTGAAAAGAGTACAGGTATCAGTATGGACTAATAGGAATATAAACAGTATGACAACAACAGTGAACTACAGACAGAGTATACCTCAATCCCATGAGGGACTAAAGCAGTCTGTCTCCCCCGTACCATAAGAAAAAGTCGGTCGATCGTCCAGAGAAGGTCATCAACATACGTCCGGGATATCTGCAAAAGGAATAGAATTTAAGAAAGGTAGACAGAGTAATAGAGAACAATGAACAGAAATGGTAGAAAACAAAACAAGATAAAGTGCAATGAGTAGAAACATAAAGAAATGTGTACTTGCTCTATGCCAGGAGCAAACGCTAGCATGCTGTCCCTCTCATCAATATGCTCAAGGGGGATCTGCTCGATCACTCCATTTGGACACATGTACATGATCTCAGTGGGAATTACGGGAAACCCAAGAATGGGAGCAACAGTAGGGGCATCGCCAGCCGCAGCAGCAGCAACAGCAACCTCTGGAATAGCGCAAACCACGCCCAGGCTAAGAGGCGCCATCACCCGAGTATGTAAGAAGGTGGTGAAGTCGTCGGGCTCATGATGTCGATCACTATCCTCTCTCAACATCAGAAGGTTGATCTGAGGACCGTCCTGAAGCTCATGAACTACCCTCATGACTAGAGGAGGAGGATATGGAATGTTGGGGTCGGCGACGCCTCATGCCTGGCGGATGAACCTCTCCCTCGAGTAGTAAGCCCGGCCAAAGAGGCCCTCAAACAGAATCCGCATGGTGGAGGCATGCCATGCAGCAACATAGGTCTTCCTTGACGCCTGGGGAATGCCCGCCCAAGGATGCCAGTCAACCTGTGGAAGCAGACGTCAAATGTCAAAATGACAATGCAGTGTGAAAATGACAGTGCAGTATAGAAACAACAATATGAGAATGACCGTGTAGTATAGAAAACAGTGCAGTATGCTTACAGTATGTAAAAGTTAAAGGTTGGTATTTTCTTACCTGATCCACAGTGATCGTGTTAAAGAAGTGGCGAAAATAAGGGAAGTCTCAGTCGACGGGGCGCTCAAATCGAGAGTTGTAGTACTGGGAGCGAGGTACTGACAACTCAATCGACCTCACCGGGACCAGAGCCAGAGAGGTGAAATATGTATAAACCCAGAGCTACAAGCAAAAAAAGATGGATAAAGTAAATGAGCAAATAAACAGGAAATACGAAGCAAAGATGAGCAGGAAATGCAAAACTGAACAAAATGTAAAGATGAACAGAAGAAGTAACTATGAGGTGTACCTCCCAAACCCTCTAGTAGCCACTGAGTGGTTCTGCCTTGCGGCGGAATACAAAGCTCATATAGCAGTATAAGGTGGCCAGGCTGGCGCCACCCCAGTCATACTCTGTCACCTGTGGTAGGTGCACCAGTGCCCCTAGAAGATATAACCCTACGGTATTTTTCCTGTTCGCAAATAGGGTAGTACTTAGGAGATACATAAGGAAACCGTGGGTGTATTAGGCGACCTCATCTGGAGTAGTGGGCTGGGACTTAGAGAAATGTTCAAAGAACCAACTATACCTCACCATCCTATGATTGGTGGTGTCTGGGATCACCCCGAGAAGTTGACGTTGTGCGGCTCTATAATCTTTGAAAAATTGCTTTGATAGCATGCCAATGTGATGTATTGTGGCATTTCGGTTATATAATCTCTTGTTCTAATAGAAAGATTTTTCTTCTGGATTAATATTTTAGGGAGAATTATACCTCAGTGTGTTTTTTCAACACAAAAAATAATAATAATAATAATAATAATAATAATAATAATAATAAATAATTTCAAACTAATGATAAAGTTTATAAATATTGATAATTAAATTCATAAACTTTTTCACTAATCTGTAAATATTTTTTCAAAACCCCACTAATGTGTAGTTTCCCAAATATTTTATCATTACTGCTGCTTTGTTCATAGCTCAGATGTGGCATAGTTGGATATAACTCAGATGTGCCGCGTTACATAGTTGCGGTTGATTACAAATTTGTTTATATTCATTGACAAATTTTTTTTTTTTCATAAGTTGCTTTCTCCTTCAGGCTTTACATAGAAACCTGCACTAAAGGAAGCATTCTTTTCTTGTCACTGCTGACATGTTGGTTGTTATACTTGTATAATGTAGCCTGCTAAAAACCCAACTTTAAATTTTTTATATATGAAAAAAATAAAAATAAATATCCAACTTCAAATTTCTGCTGCAGTCAAGCACAAAAAGAAAAAATAATCTGTTTCAGTGGCTAACTGTCTTACTTTCTTTGTTCAATTATTTTCCCTGAAATGCAGGTCCTTTTTGGACTGGAATATGCACATGCAATACAGGATATTAAAGAAGCATTTACAATTCAATCATCAAGACCACATGGGTCAACATCCAAATTAGAATTATATTGTGCTGATGTTATGTGTTCAGTTATGGATCCATCTGAAAATGTCAAAACTTCCAGTTGGCACCTGGGGTTGGATGCTAGTCTTGCTACTGATCAAGGTTCTGGCAACACAATTGGTACACTACATAGCATTGGCGGCTTGTCTTGGAGTTTACCTGAGGGACGTAGAATAGAGGACTGTTTGCTTTGTTGGGTTGGTGCTGACAATGCAGCCTTCGCAAATGTTGTTCTGACATTCAATGGATGTGAAATAGATACCGGATCCTGTGTGTTTTAACTTTATTCCAAAGCTCTCCCATGAAAAAAAAGCTTTCCCATGCTACTCTTTTTAAATTTTTTTATGTAAATACAATCTCAATTCCAAAAAAATGTATTAAAATGAGGCAAATGGCATTTTTATAAATCTATTGCTTAAATATGCTTTCCTTAAACTGTGTGGATGGTCAACCGTGCCACTTAAAATGGGATGGAGATAGTTACTACTGAGTTCTTGAGTGTCTGCATATCCTTTGGGCCTGTCTGTCTTTTAAAATTTGATTTGCTTACACATTCATGCTGCTAACTTTTCTACCCTTTTTTTCCAGTCCCTGATATGATTCACTATTTCTTTTTTATTTGGAAAAAAATCTATGCATTCAAGCTGCGTCGTTATTACCCCTGCCCCTTTCTTTTATAGTCTGTTATTGCTACTAGTTTTGGAGAAAGAAAGGTTGATTCCCTATCTATTTTAGTCATTGGCCGTTGAAATATTGTGATTGATTTTTTCTACCCTTGAAATTAATTTCCAGAGCATATGAGCATGATGTCTTGTCTATTTAACTCGTCCTCTATCTAATTTTGTTGGCACTGGTCTCAGTCAGATATGATGCAGCAGAAAATCGCTTAGTGACTGATGTATCTCACCAGAGAAGGATTCTGAAGTGTAGGTATTATTTTTAACATATTCTTTTCCATTTCTTCCCTTTGAAGTTAAACCTCTTTTATGGCATATTACATGATATGGTTGCCTATAGCATTGCCTTTGTTGAATTTTCTCATACTATTCTGTTGTCTTATCAAATCTTTTACTTTGTGCATAATGCTTATGCAGATATTACCTGGTTGAGAAGGCAAAGGATGCTAACATTATTGGGATATTGGTAGGAACTCTTGGTGTAAGTATGTTCTAAGATACTTCTGTTGTACTTGGCTGTTCTATGCATTGATATCAGTTTCATCTTTTTGCTAAGCTTCAAAGCTTCATGTTTTGAATTCATACTTGTGGCTCGCTAACCACGCTCCAAATAAATTTTTTGTCTTTATTGCATGCATTCCTTGCTAAAAGTAACGAGTAAAAGCAAAAAGGATATTTACAATGCTTTGGAAATAATAATTCTGATCACTAATTTAGTTTTTCTCCTCTACACCATGCCTGAGGCTAAATGAAGTAAACTTGAATGAATTGCATTGTTACTGCTGTTGCATTTTAGAAGTGATTTTACAGCTGCCATGTTAGTCTTGTTTCCTATTGAATACAGCACTCATGACCTGTCAATTAGGATATATATTTTGTCTAATTTGTGTTCAGAATGGAATTTGTTCTTATGAAGTCCATAATTCTTCACAAACTAACCTTTATTGGCATTTTTTCGCAATTATTTTCTGTTCACTGATTATTTGAAAAAATCAACCTCAGACAAATTGATAAAACCTGTTAATTTTTCCTTTTCAGTTGCGTACATTCAGATAATTTTATGATTGTGAATCTCTTTTCATGAGATAAATTGAATTTTCTCTTTTATGTAATTTATTTGTCTCTCTGAGCATGAATCATCTTACTTTCTTGAAGATTGACATTTTATTTGAAACTCTTGATGCAGCTGGTTACTTGCACATGATTAATCAGATGAAGGAGTTGATCACCAAAGCTGGAAAGAAAGTCTATACTCTTGTTATGGGAAAACCAAACCCTGCTAAACTTGCCAACTTTCCGGAGGTGAACTTTGATGTAGGCAAGCAGATGATTTTCTATTTTTGCTAGAGATTATAATACAAAATGTTATAACTTTCTTCTTTCTGCAGTGCGATGTCTTCGTTTATGTTTCTTGTGCACAAACTGCACTTTTGGATAGCAAAGAGTTCTTATCTCCTGTTATTACCCCTTTTGAAGCCATGATAGCTTTCAGCAGGTATTGCCAGAAAATTCCCCTATTTACTAGTCAAATTATTAGTTAATGGTTCTTAACTCCATCTTTACCCGTTCAGTCTTTCAAACCATCTATTATCATTTTGTTGTAATCAGTTTGGCCTGATGGCCTTTCTGCAATAGGCACGTGTGCAAAAAGAATTTGCTTCCAGGCATTGCTAGTATTCCACCACATGTTCTGATATGTATTTGATTTTTTTTTTTTTTCTTCTATAAGCATCTTGCAAAGCTGAAACTCGCATCATCTATAATATGTTTATTTTGATATTTTAGTTCTATTCACCTATCATGTTTCACAAATTTAATCTGATTGGATGCCTCAAATTTGTGAGAAATCTTTATCTAGATACTTCTTTGTTCCACAAATCTATGAAATGACTTATCAGAGAAAATATCTATGTAGTTAATTTGTTTCTGCCTACTTTTTTATATACTTGAAGGGAGTCCCATTGTCCCGTACAAGTTTGCATTTTGCAGATCCAAATCTTCTCCATTATGTAGTTGTGATGGAGGATCTCTTTAACATCATCCAGTGGTTCTAAAATAGTCTTATCAAGTTATCATTATTTCAAATTAAGAAAAAGTCATTACAAATTATTATTATTATTATTATTATTATTATAAAACTATTAGATGCTGTAATGTAGAGGATCTCAATCCACATTTTGCAACTTGAATGTGGAGAAATTGATGTGTAGCAATATGTTTTGGTGCAAAGTCCAATAGCACTTGGATATATAACTAAATATTCAAAAAGGACCTTTTTCCAAATAAAAAAGAAATAGTGTATCATATAAACTCTTTTGGAGAAAGAAAGGTTGATTCCCCAGCGGAAGTCAAAGGACAGGAGCTTATGTGATGGAATTTCAGAATTTGATGACTTCATTTCCAATGGAATCAAGAGACCAATTGGAAGAAGCACGATTTTCATTCCTTCAAGGTGGATATGTAGAAGATTTTGAACGGGAAGGTAACTTTGTTTGCTCTTTGGGCAACATTGTCTGTAGTAGTAATGAGTTGTTTGGAAATAATTAAGAAAAGCAATGGTAGAGTCATGTATGATCTATTCAGACTTGGCAAAAGAGTGAGAAACAATTAGAAGATTGGTAAAACTTCTTATTAGTTATTTTACAATGTTTTTGAATAAAAAGACAATTTCTTCTAAATTGTACCAAAAGATGACATAGTTTGAAATTATCTCATGCAAAATAGTTTAAGTTGCCGTCAGATGCATCTGAATTAGCTTAAGCTAAATAAGCAGGGGACTAGAATGTCTCCCCCTCTTGGAATTATTCTATTTTTCATTTTGTTTTTGAATATTGATTCTCATTCTCTTTTAGATTTCTTTTCTTTCCTTCTTATTTTCAAGAGTATTTGTAGAGGATAGGTCATTTTTTGGTACCATAGTAGGTCTAAGAATGAGAATTTACTGCTAGTGTGAATACATTGTTTCAGATTTTTTGCTCAATCTTTATTTGCAAAGATGCTTTCAAATAAAAAATAGTGTTCTGTGAACACATGGGCTTTGTATTTTATAATGGATTATAATGAACTGTGTATTTTACTTTTGTTAACCGCAACTTTGAACTTCGAGGTCAAGTTTTCCAACAAGAGGAGATTGATGTATCTTTTACCGTAACCTTGCAAATATGCAAGGGCAATTGATTTTGGTCGTTAAAGTTAATATTGTATTTTTATGATTTTCCAACAAGAGGATATTGATTTACCTATTTTCGCCAATATGGCAATTTTGTTCTTCAGGGTTGTGAAGAAAGAACCTGCACAGAAACCCATTTCATACTTCAAATTATTTAGCTGTTTGTTCCCTTTATTATATCCCTTTCCCAAATTAATAAGGATCATCCGATGGTAAATGTTGTTTACAATAAAATTATTTATATTTATTGTCCATGCCTTATTGATTTGGCCACTCTAGTTTTTAGAATAGAAAACACTCTCCAAAAGGCAGAGGGAAAATCTTTACATGGTGATTATTTATTTTTCTACTTGTTTTCTGTTTCTATTAATTTGCTTGACAGAAAACTTTCTCTCTTATTTATTTATTTATTTCCTGTTTTTCTGTAGGTAAGACAGATAAAATCATACATAACCCAAATTTACCTTTTTGGTGTTTAGGAACATGGTAAATGTAATTAATGTTTCTAATATTTTGAATATTTGAATGTGTGGCTTATTAGAGATCAGTAAGGAAAATGAAGATGGAACTCTTGCCTTAGTGAAAGCAACGGAGAAGGCTCTTCAGGTGAGCAGCAAGGACCCTAAATCTATAATCAAGGGAACAACTAAATCTGGGGCAGAGTATCTTGCATCTCGATCTTATCACGGTCTTGACATTCAAAGCCACAGTTCCTTGCTGGAGCCCTTTTCAATTGGTAGAATCGAGAATGCTTCAGGGTATGAGGATGAGAAAAGCAAGCAAGAGAGCTTGTCATGACTCTACCAGTTAAAACTCTGTGTGTGTGTGTGTGCGCGCGTGCGCGCGTGTGTGTGAGTGAGAGAGAGAGAGATACATTAGGGAAAATATATGCCCACAAGTAAATCATTCAATGGGAATAGAAACTAATGCGGAAAAATTAAATCAAAAGCAACACGAGAATTTTACGTGGTTCTCCCAATGTAAGGTACGTCTACGGGATCGAAATCCGATTCCACTATCGACCAAATAGTTTCCAAACAATTACAAACGAGACACGAATGGTCTCACAAAACCACCCTTAGGTAAATTCTAAATAATCACAAATAAACAAGAGGAAAGACCTCACCAAATAGATGAACCAAAATCTTCAGAACCAGAGTTGTAGAAGACCCAAAATCTGAATCAAACTAGCATCGAATCAAAGATTCTATGGTTCAAAAACAAACCCTTGGAAATCGAATCCACACAGCAACCATTCTCTCATAGAAAAAAGGTTACACCCGAAGCACTGTCTTCCATAAAACCAATTCGCTGCCATTACGCCCTCTGATTTTCCAAGGACTAAAACAATATATATATATATATATATATTATTGAATCTTAGGTTTTGTAATCAAACCCTAATTGTTACCGAACTGAATTAGGTCTCTCAAAATTAGATATAATATATATAAAATATATTATACCCAAACCAAATTAGAATTCTTTAACCAAAACCAATTGGGTTCCAAACTCCACTAAGGAGGTATACCCAACAATTCTCCTCCCACCGACTTAGGTGGAAAGATCAACCATACCTGCCAAAGTTCGACACTTCAAATGTTTGTCCCTCAACAAAGTCTTAGTCAACATATCCGAAATATTATCATCCGTGTGAACCTTTTCGAGTTGTAACAATTTCGAATCTAACACATCACGAATCCAATGGTATCTCACATCAATGTGTTTCGATCTCGAATGAAAAGTAGAATTTTACTCAAGTGAATAGCACTTTGACTATCACAATAAAACACATATTTTTCTTGTTTCAAACCCAACTCTTACAAAAATTTCTTCAACCATAACTCTTCTTTGCAAGCTTCTGTAATGGCAATAAATTCAGCTTCGGTAGTTGAGAGAGCAACACATTTTTGTAATTTAGATTGCCATGCCACAGCTCCCCCTGCAAAAGTCATCAAATACCCTGAAGTAGATTTTCTAGTATCAACATCACTGGTCATGTCAGAATTTGTGAACCCATCAAGCATCGGCTTGCCATCCCCAAAACACAAGCACACCTTCGAAGTCCCTCAAAGATATCTTAAAATCCATTTTACTGCTGCCCAATGTTCTTTACCCGGATTAGAGAGAAACCGACTCACTACACTAACGGCGTGAGCAATATCCGGCCTTGTACAAACCATGGCGTACATCAAAGAACCAACTACTGAAGCATAAGGAATTTTCTGCATCTCTTCCTTGTTTTTCTCACTTGTAGGACATTGATTCGAACTAAGCTTGAAGTGACCCGCAAGTGGACAACCAACCGGCTTTGCTTTATCCATGTTGAACCTCTCAAGAACTTTCTCAATGTAGCTTTCTTGAGACAACCAAATCAGCTCCTCTTTGTGATCACGAACAATTTTCATACCAAGTATTTGCTTTGCCAGTCCCAAATCTTTCATAGCAAAAGATTTACTCAACTCTAACTTCAACTTGTTAATCATGGTAGAATCTTGACCCACAATTAACATGTCATCAACATAAAGCAAAAGAATAATAAATTTGCCATTCGGAAAATTTTTCACAAACACACAATGATCCGAAGTGGTTTTACAAAAATCATTATTCATCATGAAATAGTCAAATTTTTTATACCATTGCCGCGAAGCTTGCTTGAGACCATACAAACTTTTCTTCAATTTGCACACAAATTTCTCTTTTCCTTTTTCCACAAAACCTTCCGGTTGCTCCATGTAAATTTCTTCTTCAAGGTCACCATGAAGAAATGCGGTCTTCACATCAAGTTGCTCAACTTCAAGGTTCATACTTGCAGCCATGCCAAGTACAACCCGAATGGAAGACAACTTCACAACCGGCGAGAAAATCTCATCAAAGTCAATACCTTTCTTTTGCCCAAAGCCTTTCATAACAAGACGTGCTTTGTACCTTAGATTCTTCCTATCATTCTTCAATTTGAAAACCCACTTATTTTTCAAAATTTGTCTCCCCTTAGGCAACTTCACTAAATCATAAGTGTGATTTTCAAGTAAGGAATTCATCTCCTCTTCCATGGCCTTTTTCCAATCACCTTTCTTTGCATACTCAATTGCTTCTTGATAGCTTTCTGGCTTCCCTTGATCAGAAATAAACACAAACTCATTGGGAGGATACTTTCTCAAAGGTTGTCGGTCCCTTGTAGATTTCCTCAACTCAAGTTATGGTGGCGGTTCTTGAGTTGGATGCTCTTCCTCAATTTCTGGCTCAATTTCATTAGGATTAGCATCATCCTCCACATCTTCAATAGGTGGCTGTACATCTCCCCCATATTCATCATCAACTGAAGATGAGGGAGATGGATCCATGTCGATGAGATCACTAGTTTTTGGCTCCGGTTGATCACCTTTGCAAAAGTCTTCAATTGTTTGGTCTTCAAGAAACACAACATCACGGCTTCGAATGAATTTCTTGTCGACCAGATCCCACAATCTATACTTGAATTCATCACCACCATAGCCAAGAAAAATACATTGTCTTGACTTACTATCAAGCTTGGACCTCTCATCCTTTGGAATGTGAACAAAAACTCGGCAACCAAACACTCTCAAGTGCTCATAAGACACATCTTTGCCGGTCCAAACTCTTTCTGGAACATCACCATTCAACGGATAGGAAGAAGACAAATTGATCATGTCAACCGCTGTCCTCATTGGCTCACCCCCAAAAGGATCTTGGCAATTTAACTTGTGAAAGCAAACACCTTGTTCTTTCCATAGTGGTGCAGTTCATCCTCTCGGCAACGCCATTTTGTTGAGGAGTCTTCTTAACTGTCTTTTGGTGCCAAACACCTTGGTTGCGACAATACTCATCAAATGGCCCAATGTATTCACCACCATTTGTCTGATCGGATGCACTTCAATTTCTACCATGTTTCTCTTTCAACCATGGCCTGAAAATGCTTAAATACTTCTAGAACTTGATCTTTAGTTTTCAGTAAAAAGGCCCAAACTTTTCTTGAATAATCATCAATGAAAGTAACAAAATAAAGTGCACCACTATGTGTTCTAACTTTCAAAGGACCACAAACATCCGAATGAATCAACTCCAAAACATTTTCTTTTCTAGAAATAACATTCTTCTTAAAAGAAACTCTATGTTGTTTACCCGCCAAACAATGAACACAAGTTTCAAGATGTGTACCTTTCAAACCGGGTAGAAGCTCTTTCTTGAACAAAACTTGTAGCCCTTTTTCACTCATATGGCCAAGCCGCTTGTGCCACAATTCGGTAGAAATATCATCTTCATGTACATTGACAACACCTTTACAAACTTTTTCTTGCATCGAATAAAGTGTATGAGTCTTCTTGCACTTAGCCACCACCAAAGAACCCTTTGTGAGCTTCCATATTCCATCACCAAATTTGTTGTTGAAGCCTTCATCATGTAGCTTCCCAGTAGAGATCAAATTGAGGCGAAAGTCAGGAACATGCCTCACATCTTTAAGCAATAACTTGCAGCCCAAATTTGTTTCCAAGCAAACATCACCCATGCCAATAATCGTGGACAAACCTTCATTACCCATTCGAACAGAACCATAATCTCCTTTGGTGTAGGTAGTGAAAAAATCAACTCGAGAAGTCACATGAAAAGAAGCACCGGAATCAATCACCCAATTGCTCTTTTGGCCCACAAAATTGATACAATCATCTTCACAAACGACCATAAGATCACCATTGGTAGTAACTGCTGTTGTGTCTTCTTGCTTCTTATCCACACTTTTGTCACGTCTTTTCTCCTTGTTCTTGAGCTTTCGGCATTCTCGGTTCATGTGCCATTTCTCATGGCAATAATAGCACTCAATTTCTTTCTTTGAAAAAGAACCATCTCTTGATTTGTCACGGCTTTGATCACGACCATGAGGAGTCTTACTCCTCCCCCTTGTTTTGCTTCGGCCTTTCACAACAAATGCTTCTGAATGAGAGGAACCTGTTGATTTTCTTCTAGTTTCTTCATTCAACAGGCTACTAGTGACTTGGTCCATTGTGACAACTCCATTGGGCGCTGAATAACTAACGGTCACAACCAAAGTCTCCCAACTTTCGAACAAAGAACTAAGTAGCATCAAAGCCTGCAACTCATCATCAAAAACAATTTTCATAGAAGCAAGTTGGTTAACAATACTCTTTATTTCATTTAGATGTTCCGGAATAGGGCTGCCCTCTTTATATTTTAAATTAACCAACTTACGAAACATAAAAGCTTTATTTGTAGCTGATTCCCTCTCATAAAGGCCTTCTAATTTTTTTATAAATCATGTGCTGATGTTTCAGTAGCAACGTGATGAAACACACTATCATCAATCCATTGACGGATAACACCAACGGCTTTTCGATTAAGCCTATTCCATTCATCATCTTTCATACCCTCAGGTTTGCCACTATCACCCTCAATGGCTCTATACAAATCTTTACAAAATAATAGGTCCTCCATTTTAGTTTTCCAAGTTACCCAATTGTTTCCATTGAAGCTAGACATGTTTCCATTGAAGCTAGACATATGACCCACATTCCCCTCCATTGATTTACACAAATAAATAAACTCAAATAAACCGTAAGCTCTGATATCAATTGTTAGGGAAAATATATGATTCCCCACAAGTAAATCAATCAATGTGAATAGAAACTAATGCAGAAAAATTAAATCAAAAGCAACACGAGAATTTTACGTGGTTCCCTCAATGTAAGGTACGTCCACGGGATCGAAATTCGATTCCACTATCAACCAAATAGTTTCCAAACAATTACAAACGAGACACGAAT